GGGTGATCGCTGCTAAAGGAAGAGACCTCCTGCTCAAAGCCATTAACGCAATATACAAAGTCAAGACAACGATAACCTGCTCCCGCTCATGTCGAGCCCGCTTTGGGTGGCTTCCGCGATATCCTAAAATAGTATCTGTAAAGACTCGACCGCATCACCCAATCCTGGAGGCCCAGGACTGGATTGGCCTGGAGGGGTCGATACACTCCCTGTATGGAATAAAGTGTTTACTACTTCCACCAGCAAGTTAAATCCTATCCCATCACCCATTCTGCTTCTTTCGAACCACTAATTACCGGCATCTTCTCGCCTACTTGATCGACTATTTTAACAATAAACAACCTTGAGTCTTCGGGCGTTTTTGATATGATCGGCCGTGCGTGCTGTGACCTGGCCCCCAGGGAGCTAGAATCAGGGTGCCAAAATAAACTGATCTAAAGACCTGGCAAGATACAATAAACTTGCCCAAGTCTTTTCATCACCTCCATGAGAAAAAAAAACCTCCCCTTGCTGGGTCGCACCAATCGCAGCCTTCCACGCTAAGATACCTAGGCATCTCGCCTTGTCCAGGGACCACGCACTTCCCCAACCACGACAACTGCTCCACCTCAGCAAAGCATTCGTGCCTTAGCGCACCACTCGAGCGCACTATCATAGCGCACCACATCAGCCACGTCCTGGCTTGGTGTCTCCTCAAGCTATTATACCCAACTTACGCATCATCTCCAGCTCTTTCGCTGTGGAGAGTTGAACCGACCGAACCCAGCTCTGGCAATACGGCGACGGAGTATTGGTTCGGTGGATGGCGTACAAGTCAGATATCGTTCTGTTTCCCTTTACGCTACAGACAAGCCTCTCTCTCTTGGCTGGCTACCCGCTGTAACTATCAGGCTCGGTCCCGCGCCACCGTCAGGTTCCGCAGAGTTTCCAACCGCTCTTAAACTGCCACTCCATTCCTCCCTGCACGGCCTCAAACGTCCGACATCAACGCAATCGCCTCAAGCATCACCAGCGCATCGCTTCATCTCATCATGGCCTCACGAGGCGCCAATGAAGGGTCGCCCAAGCCAGAAGTTGGCGACACCTTGATTGTGATACGTATGTTCATCCTCTGGCTTCCGTTCTTTGTCTATAGTATCCTCTGATACTGATTTCGTTTCTCAACCCTGCAGATGATTTCCAGGCTCGAAGCTCCGATGAACTCAGTCTTGCGAAGGGAGACCGAGTTGAACTCATAGAACGAGACGACGAGTTTGGTGATGGATGGTTCCTTGGCCGTCATCTGGTCAACAACAACAATGGGCTCTTTCCTGAAGGTTGGTGCTTAAAACGTTATTATATACCCCACGGCGAGAACATTGAATGACACTTGGCAGTTTACACTAGGCCAGCCCCAAGAAATATTCCCACAAGCACTTTCAGTGCTTCAAAGGCCCAGACTGCTCAGCAAGAACAGGCTTGGGACTCGAGCGCTGATACAGGTACCAAAGAAGAAAACGAGTTGCAGCAACCACAAAATAGGAACCTTGTGACATTACCTCTCAACAACGTCAAATCCGAGCCCTCACTGGTGCCGAGCGAGCCACCTGTGTTGCCCGCCTTGAGCCAACTAACGACTCAGAATCAGGACAGCCCTGTCTTGCATGAAACGCTCACTGTTATTGACGAGCACATTACCGATTTACGATCACCAGCGAGCAACGGCGGACTCCGAGCGATAGCGAACGATTCTGGAAGCGAATACAGCAGTACCCACCCCGACCAGCGAGCATCGTACATTCAAGGTGAAGAGACTGACGAAGAAGAGGAGGGTTTTCATACGCGAGACGAAGTCGAATCGTGGTCTCCCGATGATGTTGCCGAATATCTTTTTACATCGGGAGTCGAAAAGCACCACTGCGAGGTTTTCAGAGACCAAGAGATATCCGGCGAGGTTATTCTCGGTATGGATCAGAGCTCACTGTTCATCAAGGCGTTCGATCTCGGGTCTGTTGGCCGGCGCCTCAAGACTTGGCACAAGATCAAGGCACTTCAGGATGAAGTGAGTAATCAAGGCTCGGAGACACGGCGTACGACGCAAACCTTTGGAAACGATGGTTCAGAAGAAGGCCGTAGGTCTCGGAGCCGAGCAAACACCCTAACCAATCGGCCCACTTCTATTCAGACGAGGCGACTCTCCTTATCACAGAATACGCCGAAGGCATCTCCAACATTTGGAGGATCTCATGCGCAAGAGAGCTCTAACCGCGCTAGTCATATCAAGCGGCCATCCGCGGCATCGATCAGGGAATTGAACCATTCGCGTCGACACTCTTCGTCAACTGACTTTCGCCCGGCTGGCCCTGCGACGGCAAGCCCAGCCGTTCCCGTTCCCAGGATCGCGACGTCGGGTACTTTCCCCGGAAGCGAGACTGCCCATAAAAAGCAGCCATCATTTGACAGAAATTGGACACTAGGCAACGCTTATTCGCAACCACCCCAACGACCCCTTTCTTCAACTGGCCTTCAGGATTTGCTTAGCCCATCGGGAGCAGAAGCACAGGATTCTGGTGTCGACGCCGATCGGGGTTACTTCTCTGGAACAGAGGTGGATGGGAGGAAAAGAAACTTGTTGCGAAAGCGCGACAGCAATGCTGAATCGAGAAAGTCGAGCTATGCCGAAGAGCAAAGGGTTAGAAGCGCCACAGCTATGGCACGACAGTCAAGATTCGGTAGCGTGGGGTCTATTGCGGAAGGGGGTATCTCGTCAGCAGCTCAAAAGTACTACGGTATTCAGTCTGGCGCTCATAGGAGAACTGCGTCAGCCGCTTCGGAATCAACGATGAACATGCCACCACCCAATGACGTTCCTTCACCTACCGTCACCAAACTGGACACTTCGGTCAGTTCCGCTCGCTCAACCGCCTCGCCTATGTCATCGAGACATCAAGGTTTCAACTCGGACTGGCTGTCGTCAATGGTCAACAAACCCATTGCCCTGGCTGGAGGAAAGGGTATGCGGGCCATATCTGATAACCTTAGCCTTGATCGATCGAAGGCGTCAACTCCAACGGACTCAACGAACAAAGACTTCTTGGTCGACTCACCTGCGCGAACCGGCTCGACAACTCCATCGGGTGGAGCAAGTTTCGACCTTGAATCGCCTGACACTGCCAAGAGTCCCAGTACTCCTGTAACCCAGGTCAACAAGAAGGCTGGCAAGAAGGGCAAGAAAGAAACGAGCGCATACACCCGTGGGCTGCTCAAAATTTCGCCAAAAGAAGCAAGCAAAGATGCCGATTATAGTGGTTGGATGAGGAAGAAGAGTTCCAACCTCATGACAACCTGGAAGCCTCGTTTCTTTGTTCTCAAGGGCCGGCGGCTGGCATATTATTACTCAGAAGATGACGACCAGGAAAAGGGACTTATCGATATCTCGTTTCATCGAGTTCTACCAGCAGACAATGAAAAACTTACAGGTCTTCATGCTACGATCACAAGCCTTGGAGGTCAGTCAATGCCCGCATCCCAGAATGGCGATGATGACTTGGAGAAGGGAGATGACTCTATCTTCATCTTCAAGCTGGTTCCTCCCCGAGCTGGTCTGTCCAGGGCTGTGAACTTCACAAAGCCAACCGTTCACTACTTCGCTGTTCCCAATTTAAAGCAAGGCCGTCTATGGATGGCGGCCTTAATGAAGGCGACAATTGATCGAGATGATACGAAGCCCATTACTACGACGTACCAGCAAAAGACAATTTCTCTTTCTAAAGCCAAGCAGATGCGTCATCGCCCACCGGCTCTGATGAACCTCGACGAAGGGACCGAAGAGGACGCCGGCACGGCCCGAAAGGAAGCCAACGGCTTGGGAATATCATACGACGAAGCTGACAGTGGTGTTTCTGGCGTCGACAAACTCGCGGGTCAAAAGGCTGAAGAAGCCAAGTCAAACCTTGAGTCCGAGAAAGAGCAAGAGAACCCACAGACAGCTTGATCGATGTCATGCACACGACATTGCTTACAATTTTCTTTTAATTGGTGTGAGGCGTATCTGGTCTTTCCCTTAACAAACCTTCCCTTACACATTTTCCTACCCCCCTTCTCATATAGAAGCTTAATCCTTTTCTTTTTACTTGATACCTCCGGCGCAGGGGAAAACTGGAAATCTCAATAAGATATGGTGATGAAACAAACAGACGTGGATGGAATGCAATGCAATGGCAAGTGGAGGAGAATCTCAGCTCATCCCTTTGGTAGTGGATATGCACGGGCCGAGACTGGCGAACAAGAACGAACAAGAATGTCATGTTACAAGAGACAATGATGATGAGCACGGCTTTTGTTACTGGCATTTTTACAAACATGAAGGCTTAAGGATGATTTGCTGAGCTGGAGAAAATGAGCGTCCCTCTGGACGGCGTACGCGCTGGTGGCTTAAAATCTTGTTTTTCTTGTGCTCGCCATGTGACCAAAAATCTTTTTATTTGAGTGACACAAACCTATTGCAATCGAGAGCCACCTGGACCGCACGGATGATTTCTGTTGAGCAGAGAATCCGGATTGAGATGGGGGGCACGTGCAGTTAAGCTCTGAGGTTCACATAGTCTCACGCGGATGGGTTGAATGCAGAAAAATGTTACATGAATATCGAATTGGATAAGACGATCGCTTGCTCTAGAGGTATATGAGACAAGAGAAGAAAGGGGCATCGATGGCCCCAACAAGAAACTCCATGTACCTTTTTGGATCAAGCTTCTTGGCTCGACATGAGACCCTATCATGAAAAGAATGCCCTAAAGCATAAAGGGTCCTTTGCTTTGGGACGTCATAGTCTTGGTAAAATAAGTCCAGCGCCCCTGGGTCGTATCCGTCGTTAGACCATCCAAACGCCATGAAAAGCATTGTACCTTACTCTAGTATTCCACTACCTCTTTCTAATCCTCGCGATATCCTTGAACTTGACTCTGGTCAATCCAGAGGTGACAGCTCGGTGACTGTAACAGCAACATCCAACCACGGTCTCAAACCTTCTGGTTCATACCCGTCAGTAGCTGCCGAATGGATTTCATGAGGTGCAGCTCAATCCCTTCGAAGTTGCCAACAGCCTCACCTTCACCGGGTGGTGGAACAATGCTAGCGTCAGCTATGCCTAAAACTCGGTCAATAGCGGACAGCGTGACAGCCTCCGCTTTGGCTTCGCCAAGCTTAGGGTTGAGAGCTTTGACCGAGACATCCTTGAAGCCATTAATGGACGCCAGGACTTTGGCATCAAAGAAAGGCATCGTCTCGGCAGCAGAAGGGGAGCCAGAAGAGGCGGGTCCAGGTGTGGGACTCTTTGATTTCATGTAGGCATCAACAACCTGGCGGATTCCTTTCATGCAAATCGTCTCCATTTTGTCGTTCTCGGTCGCCTCTTTTTTAAGGCCGATGCAGCGATTGAGTGCTGACATGACAATCCCTTCGGCTTTGGGGTTACGAGCCTTCTTAAGGTTTTCGATCAGGCCACTTTTCAGCTTGACAACCGCAGCGAGCAACTTGGGCTCGATGGCATAGCGGGCTGTGGGAGACGCTGCTGAAACCGATGGGGTGCGGTTCACAGGAGTGGCAGGCTGTTGTTGCGTCTGTGGCGGTCCTGTTCCAGGCACAGTCTTCGCAGCAGCAGTCAGAGGCACTGAGGGGTGGGGATGGTGCTGCTGCTGCTGCTGCGCAAGGGGTGCACCAGCAGGAACAGCTGTGACATTGGCGTGCCCTTCCTCACTCTTGATCGATGTGTTTGCTGGTGGTGGTGGCCGTGGTGCGTATGGGGAGCTGTAGGTACCCGGCGGGGGCACCCCAAGCTGTGGGCGCGCAGGGGCTGGCGGAGGTCCGTAACCTGGTGGTAGCTGTGCTGGTGCCGGCGGTTGTGATGCCACCGCTACTGGAGCTGGTTGACCAGGCGTTGGTGGTGATGCAGACGCACCATATGGCTGCGGTGGCCGCCCTGGCTGCGTCTGCTGTGCCGCATATGTTGGCATATGATAACCAGGAGGTGCTTGGCCAGGGGGGTAGCCAGTAGCTCCAGGTGCCATATGTTGGGCATTATAGGCATACGGGGCTGGATATTGACCATACGCGTGTGCTGCTGCACGATCTGGTGACGATGCCTTTCTCTTCTTTCCAGCATCGAGTTCGACACCTGGAACACGAGACCAAAGGTTCGTAGTCTCATCTTTTCTGAAAGCCTCATTTCCAATAAGATTATGGCGCACACTGCTTTCCCAACCTTTCGTTTCTGTATGGAAGTAGAACCAGGGGTATCTCTGACAAATGCGCTTGTATATCTGTTTGAGCGTAAGACCGTCCGGTCCAGCCGCGGTAAGCGTTTCGTCGATAAGCACACCATAGTTCTTGTTTGGCTTTTGGAGCTGTTCTTCGGTGTAGTCCTCGATCTTGAGCTCCAAGGGAGGAGATTTTGGGCGAGTCTTTTTTTCCTTCTTCTCTCTTGCTCGCCTCTCTGCATCTGAACCTTCAGCACCGTCCTCCCGAGGCTTGCGAGGTTTGTACTTGCGTTTTTCTGGTCTCTCCGAGGATCCTTCCGGTAAAGGATGTTTTCGGGGCCGTCCGACTTTACGTTTGATCGGCGGCTCTACTGGAGGTGCCTGCGGCAAGGTCTTCTTGGCCATCTCTTGCTGTTGCTTCTTCAGCAGCCGCTGCTCCCGTTTTGACATAATGCCATTCTTGGGTGGCCTGCCAGGTCCCCTCTTTTTGGGTACTTGAGGCATCAAATGTCCTTGATGCGGATCAAGCATGCCATCCTGCTTCAATCCGGATTCTGCCCCTGCAATTGTCATGTCATCGATGTCCATGTCCATATCCATGTCCATGTCCATTTCTGCATCCATTTCTGCATCCATTTCACCATCTGCCTCGTCTTCCATCTCAGCTTCAGGCTTGGCCTCCTTTTCTTGGACTGTCTCCAATGTTTGGATGGCTGCTGGCTGCTCGGCTTCTGCTTCTCCTTCAGCCTCAGCATCATCTTCATCGCCGTCGCCAAAGTCGGGAGACTCAGGTGGGCTGGCCACATCAGACAATTCATCGCTCGTGTCCTGAATATCGCCGTTACCATGTGCAGACTCAAAATCGAAACTCATCTCTTTTCCGCCTTGGGCGTGTCGCTTTTTAAGGGCCATGGCGGGTTCTTCCTCGATATCCTCCTCGGCACCCGTTCGGCCCCTCTCAACTCCATTGATGAGAAACCGGAAGTCGACGTCTTTTATCTGCAATCGATCGCCGCATCGCAGGACGAGCTTTTCACGATTGTAGTGCACATCCTCACAAAAGAACCCATTCTTGTGAAGGGGTATAGCTTCGAAGACACCCATGTCTTGATTGTATGCGATTTTCAAATGCTCCCGGGAAATTGCTTTCGTCTTCGAGGCAATATTTGGACCTGGTGAGTGAATACCAATGAACGGAACATGGTACGGCGAGGGACGCAGAGAGCCCAAATCAACTGCTGCGGCGCCAGGCGTATGAGAAACATATTGTCGGTTAGAAATCATGTTTTCCTGAGCTTGTGCAGCAGCTTCATCCAAGTCGTGCTGTGATGACCCCTGTGTACTCGTCTTACGCCTTTTTGTAGGCCGCGGGTTTTCCCCAGTATCTGATTCGGGACCCAGCATGCCTCCCTCCTCACTGACATAGGATTTGCTGAACTTGCTTCGATCTGGGCGTATCGGGGAAGGTGGTGGGAGACCTAGGTGTACGTTCTCTTCAGTACGTCGCCGATACTCTTCGGCACGTCTTTCGTCACGGCGTGCCTGCTCCAATGCACGCTGATCTCGTCCAATTATGACAGCATAGGTGGTCATCTGAAACACACTGTCGGCAAATTCAATACGTGCAAAGGATTCAAGGGCCTTGTGAGAATCTGTTGGGCGCGTCGAATTTGTCGGGGCAATGCCTTGGAAAGACTCGTCTAACGGGTTAGGCAAAGTGACTTGAGCTGGTGTGACTGTGGGAGGTGGTGACATGGCTGTGGCGGCCCCTGACATTGTAGCCAGTGCCATCATCATGTAAGCGTGCTGGTTGATGGTAGGCATCGATGTTGCAGCATAAGGAGTCGACGGCGCAAACTGTTCTCCCAAGTTGTCGGTCTGCATCTGTAGCTGCAAGGGTGTAGATTGTTGAGCTTGATCAACATTTAATGTTGCAGCCGCATCGCGAGGGGTTGAGGCGTCAAGCATGGTGTGATCACCAGAGTTAACATTCACATGGACCGAGGCCGCGGTATCAGATGGCATCTCCGGATGTTGCTGTGATGTTGATGTGGTAGTATTAGCAGCTGTGGGAGGAGCGTTCGGGACGCCGTGAGTCGAGGCCGGCGTAGATGGTGAAGGTCGAGAGTCTGACACTTTCGCTGGGGCAGAAGATGCTGATTCTTGGTTAGGGGTTGCGGCCTTTGGTGCAAGAGCAGCCGAAGGTTCTTCGGGCGAATGATTCAATGCGACTGTTGGAGGAAGAGCAGATGCAGTTGGGACGATGGCAGTCGAGGGAGGCGCGGGAGTGGATGTGGAAGTTGAGTTTGAAGGGTTGGCAGTCTTGGCCATAGTCGAGGAGGAAGAAATCTCAGCAGAGTTTCCGTTAGAATTTGAGCTCCAAGTTTGAGTTGGGGCAGAAGCAGAAGCAGAAGCAGAAGCAGAAGGCGCTGGGAGTTTGGCCGGTGCCGAGTCAGCAACTTTTGAATCGCGGTTTTCGTCGTTGCTCGTCGGTGAATGCAAAGTCGCGTTTATCTTTGTCGCAGATGGGGTGGTGGTCACATTTGATGGCGTCGCAGCTGGTGAGGACGCAGCGTGTGTTTGTGCTTGTGTTCTTGTTTCTGTTTCTGTTTCTGTTGATGTCGTTGTCACGGTCCTAGATGCGACAGCCTGGGTATCTTTGTCGGCACCCAGGCTGTTCTGCAGGCCATTCAGGCCAGCAATGGACGAAGTCATCGCTGCTCGTACGACCAGCTCCTTCGTCACTTCGCCCTCACCTCAGGGTGTAATCCAGAAGGTATCGCCGTTGGCTGGAGACGGGGAAAATAAAAGGTTCAAGCGGGCGAGGCTTTCTGGGTCCTTTGAGCCGCGATAACTGAGATGGTCAGGGCGGGCGAGGCTGCACGTTTTGATAGGTCAGCTGAGGGGCTTCCTTTCCTCACGGACCCCGAGTCTCCTCTTACTTGCTAGATTGGCGGTTGACCGCGATGTTTTGCGCCGCTAGTACACTTTGGGCAATCAGGAAGTCGCAATCACGAATATGACCTTGTTGGGTTGCACTTTCCCAGGCATTTACTTTTGTAAAGGATTGAAGGCGCCAGTTTCGATATTGTTTGAACAAAAGGCAGGCAGAGAAAGACGAAAACTACCTTTGTAAGGCAGATGAGTCTGATAAGGAAGCGTGACCTCAGGCAAAGAAAGACCTTACTGCGTACTCCCTTGAGTGAGGTACATACACGTACATGGTGGTACGTGAGTTCTTTCCCCGCGCTGTCGGCCACCTTGGTACCTTCATAGGTACCTAGTACCTGAGTTGTAGGAATTATCCTTACTGTTCGGAACCATACTAGAGATCTCTGGGCACTAAGGTACCTATAATGGAATGCTTCAATTTTCGTACCTGGGTAAACAAAAGGCGATCTTATTCATTTTGCCGAATCCTCAATAATAAAAAATGTACATATTCAATGTCACTCAGATCTAGACCCACTTTGTGTCCTTACCTAGTACCTATGAGTGGCTTGTAGTTTAGTTATTGTGTTCAAAGACTTAAGGTTACCAATTCTAGCCAACCTATCATGTTGTATCGTACAGTGGGACTCTCATTTTTGTATATGACAATTTAGTTGGGGCAGTAATGTAACCTTCTGCGTTTTCCTCTACTGCAACCAGCCTACCCTGTTGCTCAGTGTATTAAGGCTATCAGAACATAGGTAGGCATTTCGATGAGCATTGCGAAATTCCTATCCCGAATCAATCGGTGTTCTTAAAACCATTCAATTGAACGATGAAACGTGGCCCCTTCGCTCGGAAGTACGTATCAACATTTAAAAATGACAACCCAACGAGTTGCATTCAGAAACTGTAGGTATAGAGTTAAATTATATAGTCATTAATTGTAACGCATGACTAGTATATCGAGAGGCCTGTCGAGGCTCACGACTTCACAAAATATTCAGAGCAAAGCTCATCATCAACTAACATGAATAGTATAGCAATTTATAGTCAAACTACGCCCAACAGATCGAACACCACATAACAGACTCCGGAGGCATTTTCGATACTGGGTACTAGCATAGGTATAGTTTCTACAATATAGACTATCCTTTAATGTTCTCATACCGAGGAAAGCTGATGCCATACCGTCCGAGAAGGAACAAAACGCCATGCGAAATGCGTATTCATAAGGTCTTCGTAGCATAAAGCGAAAGCGCCAAAATTTAGTGAAGCAGGGCCTCATGCTCGGTTGAAAATGCGCGGTGCGAGTATCGCTTTGTCAATCGTTCCGAAAGACGATACGCTCCATGGCAGAGCATGCCCGCAAAGAACCCCACAGCATCGTTCCTGAAAGCGAGAATTCCAGCAGTGGTCATGAGCATGACAGTCCATCTCTCCAGACGCTCATCATCTGAAAGATCGCGTTGTCGACGGGGCCCCTGACCTGCAGCCGTGTTCCATAAGTCGGAGGCTCCTTGGTTGAGACTGTTGCCCACTTTAGCAAGCTCGAGACCAGCTGCTATCACCATGATGCCAAGAAGACTCTTGGGGTAGTGCTTCAAGAGATCTACGAGAGTTTCGCCAAACATAAGCCCCAGTGCTAGCTTGAAAGCTCCCAGTACGATGATGCTGGAGCCGCTTCGAGCCCCGAAGCGATATTGGGCGGCTAACCCCCCGGCACCATGGCAGACAGGCATACTTCCGAACCAGGTGCTGCTCAAGTTCATCAGCGCAACGCTGATTCCGATGGATGTCACCGAGGGAGCAGGAAGTTCAGGTAGAAGATCCTGGGATAGTGCACTGACGGCGACGATAGAATTGAGCGTGGTCAGAGGCAGTTGTCCAATGGCCATCCACAGGGCAGGCGAATCACCCTTTCCGACCCAGTGCGGCATGACAAAGCGAGGGTGCCAAGCATAAAGCCACGGGAGGCTCTCGTGAGAAATAGCGACCTGTATAAAGGCGAATGAAATGGCGAGTAGAAAGAAGATCAAAGCATAGGGGAACCGGGAGAGGTTTTGTGTGCCAATTAGAACAAGGAAGGCGATCAAAGCCCACACGCAGTTATCGAGAGCTGGATGGCCCCAGTGCAGGGGCTGAAGCAGAGAAGATCCGGCGCCGAGGATCAACGAGAGGCCTGCTCCCAACTGAATACCCTTTACTACTGGGAGTGGTACAACACGGACAACCCCCTTCAGGAGGCCCGTAACACTCATGATGAGTACGGCAGCGCCAACCCATTGGCCTGCAGCCGTGACGACACCCATAGGAGAGGCATTTTGGATGACTGCTGAGGCAATAGCCTATACAGTAACACATGAGGTAAGCCCTAATGTAATTTGACACGAATATGTTGCTCGGATGCTTACCTTCATGGGCTGGACAGGTAAAGGAATACCATAGAATACGCCAGTGAGGATATTGAACAAGCCCGTAAACACCAGCGTACTTCCCAAATCGATGGATCCTTGTGCGGCCAAGGCAATCATCAAAGGCAGCAAGGTGCCAAGATCGCCCAGTGATCCCGATATCTCAGCCCATGGCGCTGTCCGTAGAGTCGTGAAGTTGTTGCGGTTGAGACGCCGTAAATCTTTCGCCCACGAAGGTGCCATCTCATGTGCGTTCAACAGTTGTTATTGGGAATACGTGGTACTGACTTGGCGCTCGGTCATCACTATTCAATCTTGAACTTGTGATCAGACAGACCAGGGGGGTGGTGGGTGTTAGGTACTAGATAGGTTGGCTGTATATCCCAAGGTCTCGGCCTAAGGTATGTGTAGTATTGGGTGCTGACAGGAATAGAATGGTTAGGATGATTAGTGAACGGTTATCGAGCAGGGTCCAATTAATAATGACGACGATCTAAGGGTGTATTCGAGTCGCCCGAACAATGTTGGACTATCTACTTGTTGAAAGAGAGAAAAAGAATAAGCAAAGGAAAATGGCGCAGTGAGGAGTGTTCTTATGAAAGGGCCAACACCGTCGAATCCGCTGTATCACCTTCTATGGCTCTTATCGAGGATATCAGACACATGTGGGACAAGGCTAAGTGATCAAAATGTTGCATCTCCTAGGTTCTATCGTGGTCAGCTGTTAGTCCTGTATTACTGTTGACGGACCCATAAGAATAGAGCAACATGTCCTCCAAACAGCATACTCGCTACCCTATACCTACATGTCGATGGGAGACTTTAAGAGGCAATCTCGCACAACATCTTGCGCGCTGATCACTAGCCTGGGGCTTTTAAATGTAGGTAGTATATAAACTAGAGGTGCTGCTTACCGTATTTGACAGAGGTATAAACCTTCATAAGAACTTGTTTCTTTGTACTTAGTTATCACCAAAAGCTAAGCATATCAGAAAATCAATACGCCTGCGCTACAAATAGCGTCAAAGCGAGCATTGAAGATTTGTAGATTCGCTACCACCGATCTGGAGTCGCTCACAGAAAACAACACGCCAAATCAACGCAAGGACCACTAATCTACAAGTTTTATCGTGATTTACTAGGGAGAACAACCACATGCGCGTGGAGTTCCGGTGCCCAATGTTGGTCAACCCCAGAGGAAAGTGTCGATCACACAGTGGAAACACTGACCGCTTCCAGAATGACACATTGGGACCTCAACAGCGCCTGACACCATAGAGCTACCTCGGGGAGCAGGAAAACTTGCCTGAGACTTGAGAAGAGGATGCTAAAATGAATACAGTAAAGAAGTCCCTAAGCTTAAGCTAGAGTTGCCTGAATACTTATCGCTTAGGATAGAGGCCCTAACTTTTCTTACCTCCTCTAAAGCCATTTTAACCCATTCGATGCTGCTCGACGCGAAGTCCCAGAGTCGGGTTCGTTGGTGACGATAGGTATACAACTAATTACGCACCCCATACTTCCGCGGATTCGTCCCTAGCCTGGCGCCGTACGCAGGGTCGGTATTTCGCAACATTCTCGCTTCTGGAAGGCTAGAAGGCGAACCCCCAGACACTTTGACCGCATCCGTGTTTCTCCAAACTCGATATCTTAGCCCGCCGTGATGTTTGTAGTATTTCCTTATGCGGTTGCAGGCCAAGCTCGGTCCCGGCCGCTGGGATGCCTCATTGTACATGTGTGTGTGTTTCGAGGCGTGTAGTTCTGCCTATCCAGCCACAGCTGTATTCACACAACAGTAATAGCAAAACCTCTCCAGGCTGCTAAGGATTTTCAGTTCGACCCAGGGAAGCGAATCGTTGCCGTGAAGTGGCTCTCACTTACAGTCGTAGAAAATCTGATAGGATTTCGTAAAGAGGCTTTCCCTCAAGTTTACGCACCAATGGCCTATGACCTCATCGCACTACTAAGGCAAGCGGTTGTCGCGCTGGAGTGAACTCCTGGTTAGCGAGATGTCCCGGCCACAAGTCGGCAGTAAAGGCGCGAAACCTTGCAGGCATAGCCGTTTTATCCCTCGTCTCCGTGACTTCCAGCCGGGATATCAGTCGAACTCCGGGCCTGGAATTCTGACTTCTAAATCCAACGAGTACCAACTCACAATCCTGCCTGTGAATAAACCATGTCGGACATGGACAAGAGAACTGATGAGATGTCCATCGAGAGAGTTTCGAGGCTTGTCGTAGCACCTATCCGTATGTTTTCAGTGGCCAACCATGGGATATTGACTCTCCACTTTCCACGCCAAGCCGGCAGCCCAGCTCTCTCTCATGATGCTGGTAGACCCATGCCATGCAGCAGCAAACCCATGTTGCG